TAATTTTATTATTACGATCAAATTAGAAAACTTTCGTTGATTAAATTTACAAACTAGTAAATGTTTGATTCGATCATATTTCAACATATCATCATTTTAAAAATAAATAAAAAATTTAAATTTTATTTTTCTTATACTAAAAAATCTCATTCAAGAATAATTATAGTTTTATATTTTTCGATTCTTTGAGTATGTCTTGAAATAACTATGTAAGACCCATAAGAATCGAATCAATTAAAATTGTATTTATTTTAAATAATCGTTCTTTATTCTCATAAATTATAGCTTCTATCATTAATTAATATCTTATTTACAATAATTTGTCATTAAATTAAAGATTCTTATGATCAAATAAAAAGTAAAAGAAAAGCAAAAGAAATAAGAAAAATAAGCATAAAAGATACATTTTAACAAGTATGAAAATTTTACAATAAACGACTGATTGATCATAATTCACTCTACCTGTCGACACTTTCACATAAAGGCACCTTTGATTAACACAGCTGTTTACGCGCACACAGAATCATTGAAACAGCAATCTAATAAATAAATATATGAATTGTGTAACGCACAAGTTCGCTATTCGTATTATTTAATATCCGATTCATTGGCAAGAAGGTGCGCCATACGAAAACTGTTCTGTTGTCTCAGTTGTGAGAAGCGTTACCAGAATCTAGGGGCACTCGCCACTGAGAGGGAGAACGAAAAAAGGTGGGGATAAAGATGCTATAGAGGGGAAAAGTAAGGTGTGTGCACGGAGTAGTAGAACCCGTTGAATAACGGAAGGTCTATCACGGTAGGAGGACGACAAGATATAAGATATAAGGTATAAAAATATAATAGAAAAAAGTCATTTTGGAAATCTGGAATGATCATCTGCTAATTTCTTAGTAAATATTTCATTATTTTGATAAGAATGTTAAGAGATCAATGCTAACTTACAGTGATAAATAACATTAATGTACTTTTATAAATTTTAAAAATAAAATAGTGCCATATTAATGATTAATGATTAAATACCAAAAAGTGTAATTACATAAGTCTGTTTCTGTAAATGTTTCTGTAAATAATTTGAGCGTTTGATAGATTGCAAAAATTTTACCGTTCATTTTACACTTAATAATACGGAATAACTAGATTATAGACAAATGTTTATTAGTATAAAAATGTGTAATAATAATAAGAAAAAAATATAATTAAAAAAGAGAAAAAAGAAAGACTTATATTCTTGACTGTCGAAAATGACAACTAGCCGATAGGCGGCAGTGTGAGAATAACTGCAGCGCAGCCGCCGCTCGATAAAGCCATCCTCTTACTCTTCTTTTACGTTCTCCTTCTAATATTCTCCTTCTCTATATAATACATGTATAAACCACGACCCTATTCCACAAATTAAAAATCTGGTCAACTGAAACTTTATGAATAGCTCAGTATAGTATTAATTAGGATACAGAAAAATAAGGATCTATATAAGTACTAATAATCCTGAACTAGTAGAATTCTTCGTTACTAACCTATGTTAACCTATGTTACATGAAAACACATTTATATATATATTTATTGTTGAAATAAATAAGTATTCATTATTCAATTAATTAATGAAAATTAAATTTGCTAAAAATAACATACCTATTTTAAATTTAATATTTTTATACTTATATTATTTTATAAGCAACATGAATTTTATGAAATTTTTCTTAAATTTAAAAAATATTAAAATTAATTTTAAAATTATTTAAAGTTCTCATATTGAAAAAAAATATTATTGTAAATTTAAAAAAATTAAATGAAAAGGATATTCTTGTAGCCTACATTTAGTAGGAAATAGGGCGGAAGAATCTTTTATTTTTTTCCTCGCATTTCTTATCCAATGCTATTACAAGCACGGAGATCCACTCTGGTGGCTAAATAAGTACACTTCAAGTTTTTTTACTGTTTTTTGTCATTCTTTTTTTATTTTTCATTTCTTTTTTCTAAATAAAAATAAAGCCCTAAAAAGAAAAGTAAAAATAAATTCGTAATTATTGTTTAATAATTAAATGAAATCTAATAAAAAAAATAAAAATAATTTGTTATTTCAATTTTATAATATTTTCATATGCGATCAAATTTTTTACAAAACATTTCAATGTTATTTGAATTAAATAGTAATTAAAAATAAAAAGTCAATTCATAAAATTATATAACTATTATTATTTTTAGAAATTTTTTTGTTTAGTTTTAAATTCGTTTTAAAAATATATTAATAACATACACAGTTTGATAAAATAATTAATACGAAATAAAAAATCTTTTATGAATCTTTTTATTTTCTTAAAACGATTTATAATTGTTTATTTATTTATAGTATATATTAAAATAAAGATATAATATGATAATGTAATATTATTTTATTATAATATAATAATTATTTTCTCAAAATTATTCATTTTTCGATTTTAACGATGGTACAGAATCATTTATAACTGGAGTATAATTAACAAAAAATAAACCCAGAATAATGAAAGATATACCACACCACCAATTTAACGATATGTGTTCATTAAAAATTAAGAAACCCGCAAAAGCCTATAAAAAAAAATAAAAAATCTAAATATTATATAATGCATTTGTTTTTCTTGTTTTTATATTGTATATATGTATTGATAAAAAAGTGAAGTATATACCGAACAAACGTAACTAGTGGTGGCGCTGGTTATTGTACATGATAGAGAAGATTTGCTGATATTAAGTGCTTTTACGAAAAAGGTGCATCCCATAGTGTTGCTTGTTATCATCAATAGTAAAAGTATTCCTTTAAGTAGCAATTCAAACTAATTAAAAAATAAATAATTAATTTTATACAAAAATAGAAATATTACAATTGATATAAAAAAATATTGTAAATTTTATTATACACTTCTTGTATAAAAAAATTGTTAAAAAAGATGTAATATTACTTACTATGGAATTTATTTCTATATTGCTAGAAAGTTTACCCAATATACTTCCAGTAGTTGCAAAAAATCCACTTATAAGAGCTAAATAAATTTTTTCTTGCTTTTTTTCTTTAATACAGGAAAGAGATTGACTTTCTCTTGATGACAATGAAAAAGCATCCGTTAAAAATTTACGTTTCATTACAAACATTGTTACAGACAAAGTAAAATAATTATCTATAAAAATATATATGAATTTTATTTTTAGGTTTAAATCACTTTCAACAACACCGATATGAAACTAATACTAGTATTATAAACAAAGTATATTTAAGTACATATAATATTCTATGCTTTGTATGCAATAACTGAGTAATTAATGATCTAGTTTATGGCGGGAATATTCAAATAATTATTAAAAAATAAATTAATATATTTTTCTTTATTAGTTAAATATCTTAAATCTTAACAGTTTATAAGCCCAAAAATACATTTTAATTTTCTATTTTATCTATAATATTAAATAATAAAAAAATTATAAAGTTAATGAATATAATTATATATATTTTAAAAAGAAAATGTCTTTTATAATTTATAATTTTTGTTTCTATTAAATAAATATATTATTTATATTCAAAATAAGAAAGAGTAGAAAGATATTAATTAAATTTAAAATCAATTATAAAAGAATCTTTTTTATATTTTTCAAATAATACATTTATATATAATAAAACAGATAAAAATAGTTTCAAGTTTCAAGTTTCAAGATCTACTTATTCAATACTAACATGTTTGCATTTAAAAAAAAATTAAGATAATGATATTATAAATTAACAATTAATAATAATATTTAAATTTTCAATAAGATGCTGTTTATTTATTCTTTTAAATATATTTTTTATAAATATTTCTTATAAATATTTCTTATAAATATACTGATCATTACAAAATAAAATTTATATATAACATATGTACATAATAATTAATAAAATATAATTTAAAAAAAAATAAGTTAGCGCGCAGTGAAGGGAAGGCGCGAATGATTTTCTACAGGTAGTTTAAAAATGGCGACTGACAGGTACGCGTTTTCTCGCGTGTACGGTGCCGCGACAAGATCAGACGCGACGTGATTTTCATTAAATTAAAAGCAAGAGATTCATTCAACATCTTTAGTTCAATTTTATTTAGTGGAATCATTGAATTGAAGAAACCTTACAAATTATGTTGCGTTTTCATCAATCAACACGGTGACTTTCTCTCTCGGTTACATTGTATTCGTGAGATTCAGCTGCACTTAGTCTTGGCATGATTAAGATTTTTTGCCTTCATCTCGTCTGTTTTTTGAACTAACAAAAAAAAAAAAACGAACGAATGAACGAACGAACGAGCAAACTTCCGCATTCCACTGCATTGCGAACGAATAAGTGAACAAACGATCACTTGCCAATGTGAGTAGATATCGTGATTTGACACCCCCCCCTCTCTCCCCTTTAGTCCTAGAACAGATTTCTTTCACTTGCATTAACTTTCAAGTTACAATCGCGAAATGGCAAACTTATCCGTATTTTCGCTTATAATTCACTTTTATCATTATTTTATTCATCATTAATATTATTCTATCACTTTCTTTGTCTCTTATGTTTGCTTATTTTGCTTATTTCATCTTTTATATAAGAACTATATTATTTTGTCTATATGTCAAAATAAAAAAAATAAAATAAAGAATGAAAAAATATTGTCAAACAATACAATACATTTAGAGATATTATATTTTTTTCCTAAATTTAAAATCTTTTAATTAAATAGCTCAAAGTAGTAGTATAAATAGATTATATTATATATAGAATAAGAAATAAAAATTCAATTTTATATTTTTTTTTATAATATATTACTATATATAATTTTATAGTTTTTAAATTTATTTTTAAAATTATTTGTNTAATTATAATATATTAATATATTAACTATAAATATATTTTTTTCCTAAATTTAAAAAAATATGTAATGAAAATATATTTAAAAAAAACTTATTACTTGTTATGTGATGACTAAAATGAATATTCTGAAACATTTATGTAAATAATGTATGTTTACTTACTTAAGTACTTGATAAATATGAAAAGTTTTGGATAAAAATATGATATCATTCATGATCAAATACCCAATGAAAAAGCAGCTAATTTCATGCAGGTTTTAAATCTGAAAAAGCAAAACTTGATATTATATCAGAATGATGTCTAATCTTTGTCGCAAAATTTTAAAATATCTTGGAATGTATTCATGGCTTTGTAAGTGTAAAGGTAATCTAGTTAGCATCCAAATCCCTTTTTATCATAATATTCCTAAATTAAATTAAAACTTCTATTTCATTATTTATAATATTATATTATTATATATTTAGATGTATTAAATATATTATTTATATTTTTATTTAGATTTACAATATTAATATTATATATTGTAAATTTAAATAATACATATAAAGTAAAATATATTTTATTTTTTTTTTTT